TAGCAGTCAGATGCCTTAGGTACTATACCACCAGAGCTCCTTAATTCTGAATTCCAACTGTCTGCTCTTTTCCTTGTTTCCAAAGGTAAAACCATCGCGTGCGAGACGGAGTCTGGCCTCGCACCTCAGCGGCTACATCCCTCCCAAGCAGCAGCGGGGACAAGGCTTATCTTTGCCTGAAGATGGCGCGCCGCCGACCTGTGCACAAAGAAAGGTGCTGTCGACAGTTGCAGTCCTCACCCTGAGCTGACAGTCAGGTGGCCCTGTGGAAAGGACAGACCAAGGGCTCAGGGTTTCAGGTTTTTTTCTCAGAAGCACATGTATCTTTATTAAAATCACTGATGGAGAGCGTCTGGTGGCCTGTCCTGTCCTTTGTTGAGAACGTCCCCTTGCCGGGCCCCCTGGGCGTCTCTGTACGCGCTCTCTTCCTTCCTGCTCATGTGGCGAAGCACACACGTCACAGCCTTGCCTCCTCTGACGGCCTGCGGCTTGGACGAGAAGGTAGCTGTTCCGGGCATTGTCTGGAGGATTTGGTTAAATAGCGCCTCCTAAAAAAGGCAAAGGGCCGAAAGATAACTGAAAATCAGCGTCCTCTATGCTTTCTAATGTCACTGCCCTCACACTTAAAAATCAGCATTCCCGAGTTGCTACTTAAGCAACTAGCTAATCATCCGTATGTGTCTGGTTGGTAAAACTCCTACAGTAACCGAGCAGTTACACATTCCGTGGAACTCAACTGAGGCACTAAAGGCCTGAGTCATAAATCCACATTCCCTCGTGTCCACTGAGGCGGGGGCCTAGGTTTTATCCCATATGACCCTCTGGCAGAAACATAAAACAGTAGGTTTAATGGCAAAGTATGTCCTTATCCCAAAAACAGCCCAGTGCACTGGTTCTCATTTGAGGTGCTTTAAAAAAAGTGTAGATACCTAGGTTGGGCCTAGGTGACTAACATGGCACCTGGGTTGAAAACCACTCACCTAATGCTACCTTTAGGAGCTCTGGTGGTGTAGTGCCTAAGGCATTTGACTGCTAACCAGAAAGCTGGCAGTTCAAACCCACCAGCCACTCCTCAGAAGGAAGATGGGGCAATCTACTTCCGCAGTGATATGGCCTCAAAAACCCTAGGAGGGATCGCTATGAGTCAGGTCTGACTTGATGGCACAACAATGCTACCTTTAAGGAGCTCTGGTGGCATAGTGGATAAGGGACTTGACTGCTAACTGGAAGGTCAACAGTTCAAACCCACTAGCCACTCTGTGGAAGGAAGATGGGACAATCTGTTTCTGAAAAGATTTA